GGTGTGGTCCGTTCAACCCGGTGGCCAGCCCGCGGACATCGCGCGCGCCACGGTTGAGAAACACTGGGTTAGTAGGTCAGGCAAACTCACTCCCCATCTTCAAGGCGCTGTCCCATCCATGAAAATTAGTTAATTCAGCAACCAAAACAAAACGCGCGGGAGCCCGGATTCACCCTTTCCCAAGGCAGCCCCTTTTCTTCTCTGACCCTCATCCCCTTCCTCCAAGGTTGCAGTTGCTTTAAAGAAGAAATAACCCCCCTTTTTTTCATATTCCCATCTCCTTCGTTGGGTGCCTAGAGGAGAAATTCATGACCTCCCTCAAACTTCCATGGAGGACTTTGGCTTTTGGGGAGGGGGGGAGGAGCTCATTTTCTCCAAAAAGCAGTCCCAAATTGGATGACCCCCCCCCTTTTTTTCTGAGGAAGTTTGCCAGGAAGACAGAGAGCAAGGGCAGGCTTGGGGCGATGGGAGTTGTGATCCAACATACCTGGGGGGGGGATACCAGGTTGGAGACGGGGCTCCCCAATGCTCAATCTCTCAATCTCCCCTTTTTTCCTCTCTCTTTTTGCCTCCCCCCCCTCCAATTTTCTTTCCAGAAACCTATCCCTAAACACACAATTACAGACATATTAAGGGAAGGGATTTTTTTCCCACCTCCACAGGTTCCTCTCACCATTTACTGTATTTCATTCATGCCTTGGGGGAGGGGGATTTTTCTGCCCCTTCCAGAAGCTCCGTAATTGGGATTCGGGTTCGTTTTTTAAAAAAAATGGGTGTTTTTCCTTTTGAAAAGCTCGCCTCCCCCCCGCCCTTTAAAAAGGCATCTTAAGGTTTCCGGACGGTCTCTTTTTCCCCACATACCTCACTTCTGAAACTTTAAGGGGGGGGCACTTTTTCATTCTCGCTCCCCCACATATACACTCCGTCCGGGGGATTTTGTCCCCACCCGAGAGAATAACCCACTTTTTTTAAAATATCACGTCAGTCCTAAGCAATGAGTAGAGGAGAAAAAAAGAGATCCAATAGCTAACCCCTCGCCTTCCATTCTCACGTCAGGAACACCCCCGCAAGCGGAATGGACTCTTCCCCAACAACCCTCCTGCGCGCACTTCGCCAAGGTTCAGGCTGTACCATTACAACCAAACGGGGGGAAGTGGGGGGGGAAAGAGGGACAGTTCCACTCACAGCTTCACCACATTCTGTACCACCGACGCCATCTTCCCCTCTGCCGCCTGTGGCCGCGAAGTACGCGAGGGCGCATGCGTCGAATGCCCATTCGCGCTGACTCGGGCGACCGCTCTCCATGAAACCTTCCGCTCAGGCCCGGAAGGCAGCGCATGCGTACTAACCCCAACCCGCCCTCACGCTCCGGGAAAGAGAGGCAGCTACTCCCACGCTCTTCCCGCCGTTGACCTGGAACGCGCAAAGGACGCGCAGGCGCAAAGGAGGCACAGCTGCCGGGGATCGTCCGCAAGGTTCCATTTATCCGCGTTGCGCATGCGGCACGCCCGCAATCGACGGCGCATGCGTGAAAAGTGGCGGGAAAGCGATGTTGCTCGACACAGATCTGCATCTAACGTTTTCGGTTTAGTATTTTGCAGTATTTACAGAAATAGTAAAAAAAATGGTCTCATACTGCCCTTACATATAAGTGCCTACCCTCCAAAAAATACTAAGCGTTTTAAATGACGGTTTCCTTTTGCAAATCCATATTATATATATTTAGTTATTTATTATTAAATTTATATGCCGCCCACCTCCCCGAGGGTGCCTCTGGGCGGCTTGCAATTAAAATCCAGGGCCATAAAAGCAATAAAAATAGAAATATCCCCAATTAAAATTATATATAGGTATAAATATACATTTATGCAAATACACATGTCTGCACACTTATTTTTATTTATTTATATTTCAAATTTGGACACCGCCCATCTCACGAGGAAGTGACTCTGGGTGGTTTACAATAAAAACCACAAATATCAGTTACAATACAATGAACATTTTATTCATTTATGTATATTTCAAATTTAGATACTGCCCACCTCACAAAAAAGTAGTATAGTATGAAAATACAATAAAACCAAATACTGTACATACAGAAATCATTTCAAAGAATGAGGATCAAATGCGGCACTGGCTAAAGTTATGTTATTTGAAAGAGAAAATATGAAGTGATCCGGGTGACAACTGATTGCGCTGTGCCAGCTGCAAATTTCCACCACCGCTGGTGCCCAGGCGGGCCACGTGGGGCGGGCAGTGATGGGAGTTGTAGTCCACGCCATTGGCTGGGCCCTCGCCCCTCATTCAACAGGGTCAAATGGGGTCAGCGGGGGGGAAGCGACTGTGCCATTAATTCATTGTGCCGTTAATTTGTGATGTCAGCCAAGCCGCTGCCTTTTGCAAAACCAGGTTTAAGGATCTGTGGTCAAGCTGGCATGAAACAGTCCATACGTCCCTCAAGACCTGGTTACGTGACCAGGCCTGGGGCTCCCAGGGGACCGGGGAGATTTTACGATGGCTGCCTTATCCATTTGATCCTCTCCTGTTTTGTGTGTTTTTACAGTTTTTTATATCTAGTTGTTTTTATGTATTTATTTCTTTAATTGTTGTACGCCGCCCAGAGTCACCTTGTGTGAGATGGGGGCTATATAAACATAATAAATAAATAAATAAAAAGTTCAGGGAGGGAGCAAGCTATGCTTTTTCTTTCTTTATTCAATTTAGATATATTTTAAACCTCTGAATCGGTGTTGCTCAACCTTGGCCTCTTGAAGATGGGTGGACTTCAACTCCCAGGATTCCCCAGCCAGGG